TGGATGCTAACTGGAAGATGGGTGTGGATCGGGGCTTTATGGGAGTGGTAATTCGTGATGCCCCGGTGTGTTGAGGTGTCCGGTTGGAAGTCGTGGCCACAAGTACTCTTATAGCTGAGGCTTTGACGATATGGGAGGGTTGTGCCCTTGCTCACTAGAGGAATTTCAATCAGATTTTCGTGGAATCAGATTCCAAAATTGGTCATCTCATCATTGGTGGTGGGCTTGGAGTGCATTCCTTGGGAAATTCTTCCTATTTTAAGTCGTGTATTGGAGTTGGGGAGATCTTTTCAAGCGTGCACTTGGTCTTGGGTTCCAAGATTAGCAAATGTTGTGGCGGATTTTGTGGCATCGCATTTGGTAGTTGGGATGTGCAACTCTTTGTGGGTCACTAGACCTTTATCTTCATTAGTGGGAATCCTCAACAAAGATGGTCTTCCTTGCCCCCCTCAAAGGTTGTAGGTGGCCTGGAAAGCGTTGGATTTGACATATTTTCATGAGGCTCTGCTGCGTCTTGTATTTCTTTGTCCTCATTGCTTTCTCAATGTTTGTGGTTGTTAGTCCTTAGTGGCTTTCTTGCACTCTTTGGGTTTTGCCCTAGTTAATGAACTTCCAGTTACCTCAAAAAAAAAAAAAAAAAAAAAAAAAAAAAGGCATTTCTAAGAACTTAACCAACTCAGTTTAATAACTAGTAAACCGAATTACACCTTAATCTTGTAAAACTAATAATAGTGATTAAGCTAATCATTGATTACGTTTAGATTCTTATCATTTACCCTCCCCTTACCAAAGACCTTGTCCTCAAGGTTAGAATTTGACTTTGGAAACTTCAACTTGAACTTATCATAATCTTCCCAAGTAGCTGCAGCAATATCCTAATTCTTCCATTGCACCAATACTTGCACACTAGCTGCATTTCCCTTTTTGTAAATCCTTCTATTCAACACAGTCATTGGTTCTTTCACTGTGTCTAGTTTAAGCCCTTCTTCTAGAATGGTCACAGTAGGCACAATGTGCTCTCCTAAGTGTTTCTTTAGGACATTGACATGGAACACTAGATGAATTTTGGTATTGGCTTGTAACTTTAACTTGTAAGCCAATTTCCCAAATCTCTCCAAGACTTTAAAGGGACCAATATACTTTGGATGCAGTTTATGGTAAGAATGTAGATTTAGGGCTTACAGATGGTAAGGTACTAACTTCAAGTACACAAAATCACCCATAAAGAACTCCCTTTCAGTCCTGTGCTTATCAGCTTGGATATTCATTCAGTTATGTGCCATTTCCAGATTGTTTTTCAGAAGTTCCAGAATCTTGTCCCTCTCCAATAATCCTTTCTCCACTTTGTCTAACTTTGCAGAACCTAGCTCATAGGCAGCAATGTGAAGGGGAAGGAAGCCATACACCAACTCAAATGGAGTAGACTTAGATGCATTATGATATGAGCTATTATAGCTCAATTTAGCCCAAGATAGCCATTGCACCCACTTCTTTGGTTGTAGTCCCACAAAACACCTTAAGTAAGATTCCAAACACCTGTTTAACATTTTAGTTTACCCATCACTCTGGGGATGATATCCAGAACTCATATTCAACTTTAATCTTTACAGTTTGAAAATTTATTTCTAGAAATTGTTGCTCACAAGGCTTGTAGGCATGCCATACAACTTAAATATGTGATCCACAAACAACTGTGCCACCGTAGTTGCAGAATAGGGATGAGCTAAGGCAACAAAATGGCCATACTTTGACAGTTAGTCCACTATTACCATTATCACTGTCTTGCCTTGGCATTGAGGTAACCCCACAATAAAATCCATACTTATATCAGTCTATATTTTTTTTTTGGTATGCGAATAGGTTGTAACAACCCTAGGGGAGCAATGGTTTCATATTTGTTCATCTGGCATACCTGACGCGCAGCAAAAAATTGTTTAATGTATGCCTTCATTCATTGCCAATAGAAGCCTCTTTTAATCCTTTGATAAGTCTTTAATACTCCTTGATGGCCTGCAATTGGGGTTGAATGGTGTTCCTCAATCACCCTCCTCATCCAATGAGACATTGGACTAAGTACTATCATTGAATTGTATTTCAGAAAGCCATTGTCTATATGGAACTTAAACACTTTGGAGCTATGGCCTTGTGTTTTTTGAGGTTTAAGCATTGTGATCTCTTGTAATTTTTGCTTGTTCCACTCATCAGTCTCATTATCTATTCTTAACTCATCCAACCACCCAAAATAAGGGTAAGTGATGGCAATGAGCTCCACTAGCTTATCTGGCTCATTTTCAGTAGTCTCCATGTCATTCTCAGGATTCTGCACCCTTGATAGTGCATCTACCACTATATTGTCTCTCCCATGTTTATATTGGATTTCATAGTCATAGCCTAATAACTTGGAAACCCATTTCTATTAAAAAGCTGTGTTAGCTCTGTGACTCAAAAAGTATTTCAAACTACTGTAATATGTCATAATAATGAAGTGCATCCCTTGCAAGTAGTTGTGCCATTTCTTAATTGCATACACAATGGCAATTAGTTCCCTTTCATAGGTAGATATGACTTGATTTCTTAATCCCAATGCCTAGATAGTGAAGGCTATAGGTCTCCCCATTTGCTGCAGGATATCTCTTGAGGCATCACATTCGATTTCAAATGGAATTGAAAAATTAGGAAAAACTAGTACCTGAGATGATGTCATGATGCTTTTGAGTTGTTTAAAAGCTTCCTCAGCTATCATATCCCACTTAAACCCATCTTTCTTAGTAAGGTTATATAAAGGTTGACAGATTCTCCCATACCCAGGGATAAACTTTCTGCAGTAGCGTGTCAAACCTAAGAAACCCCTAAGTTGCTTCACATTCTTGAGAATAGGCCATTTTGCTATAGCCCTTAACTTACTGGGATCTGCAGCAACTCCTTCTTTGGACACAATATGCCCTAAGTACTCCACACAATTTTGACCAAATGCACATTTTTGTTTCTTAAGGAACAAGTGATTCAATTGCAAGATTTCAAATACCAGTTTCAAATTTTGTAAATGATCTGCCTAATTCTCACTATAGACTAGAATATCATCAAAGAAGACAAGCACAAACTTCCTAAGATAGGGCCTAAACAAGTCATTCATCAAACTCTGAAAAAGTGGCTTGGGCATTGGTGAAACCAAAGGGCATCACTAGGAACCCATAGTGGCCTTCATAAGTCCTAAAGGCTATTTTTTCAATGTCTTTAGAGCTCATTCTAATTTGGTGGTACCCTAACCTTAAATCCAAATTAGAAAAATAGCTGGAACCATGTAATTAATCTAGAAGATCATCTATCAATGGAATTAGATATTTGTCTTTTATGGTCAAGGCATTCAACTCTCTATAATCCATGCACATCTTCCATGTGCCTTCCTTTTTCCTTACCAATAATACAAGAAAAGAGAAAGGAATATGGCTAGGTCTAATGAACCCAGCTTGTCTCAATTTCAATTTTCTACAAGGGACCATAATGATATGGTTAAATGTTAGATGGTTTTGCTCCCTGTACCAATGGTATTTTGTGAGCATGTTCTCTTGCTGGGGGTATGACAGTTGGAACTACAAATATCTCCCTAAATGCTCCTAAGAGATCTTGCAACTCACCCAACTGTGTAGGAGACAACTCAGAAGCCTTAAGTTTCTCAGAACTGATATAATATAGCAGCATGCCCAAATTAGACTCATAGCATTCCTTATCCCAATTACTGGAACTCATTTCCTGCACCAATGGTTTCTCACTGGCATGAGGATACAACTTGAATTGTTGACCATGCTTAGAAAACTCCATAGTCATCAATTGGAAATCCCACAAAATTGGACTGACAGTTGATAATCACTGCACCTCCAACACCACATTACATCCTCCTAAAGGGAGAGGAAACAAATATGTGGTACAATGGTAGTTTCTTATGGATAAGGTGGTGTTTTTGTAACATCCTTGCCCCTTAAGCTTGCCCTCATCCGCAATCATCACCTTAAAAGTCTTCTGATCAGTTACTTGCCACCCAAGTTTCTTCACTAATCTGGAATTTATAAAAATGTGACTACTGCCAGAGTCTAATAGGATTCGAATGGATTGGTTAGTGAGCATCCCATCCACTTTCATAGTTTGAATGGTCTGTTTAGATGTAGTGTCATAGAATGCACATTCACTCAGCTCCATATTGTTAAGCTCAGACACTCTTCCTCAGCTACTATACCATCTTCACTATCAACCACATTCATTAATAAGAGTTGCTTGTGATGATATTTATGACCCTTAACCCACTTCTCATCGCAAAACTAGCACTCTCTGCTATCTTGTTTCCTATGAACCTTTTCAGTGGACAACCACTCAAATTCTGCACGGAAAGCCTTTGTAAATTCCTCCTAGCTTGTAGTGGTGTGTAAACAGTCTTGCCATTTGAACCATTGCAAAGCTTCTAGTTCAAGATGGAAAGAAGTAGTGACCACATTTTAATTGTCTGGAGGGCTGTAATAGAGGAAATATTGTTTAGCCTTGTAAATCCAAGCGATCGGATCATCGCCATCGGCAAAATGAGGAAAGTCCACTCAATGTTACCAAGGAGCTGGTGGTGGAGCCAATCCTTGGTCACAGAGTTCCTTAACAGGGTCGTGAAGAGGAGTGAAATCGCGTGGAGGAGCTCTTAAGGTCTCCCCGGAGTTTGGATCCAAAAGTTCTAGTGGCGGCGGCCTCGGACCGACGGCAGAGGAAGATTTGCGGCCCGGCTGAAAAGACAATTCGCAACGGAATTGTTCAAAACAGATTGCGAGCTTGGAATCAAGAGTGACGACGAATGAGGAGGACGCATCATCGATCGAAGATTGGATCAAGTGTGGAACAGTTTCCATCAATGCTTCGAGCGCAGCAAGTCGTTCATCCATGGTAGTGAAGCGTGTAGTGGTGGTGTGACGAGGCATACAAGAAGGGAAACCAAGGATCGAAGTGGGTGATACCAATGATAAAACCTCAGTGGTCCAATCCCTAATTCGACCTTAACCTGCAAGCTAGATCAGAAATGGCGATGGAAGGAAGGAAGAAGGCAGTGGAGAGAACCTCCTATTTTTTTGTAATAATATTTTCATACTCAAATAACCGTTGGCCATCCACTCACCACATTGGTGCCTTTATACAACCTATACATCTAGATACTGCCAAATGGCATTTCTAACAACTTAACCAACTCAGCCTAATAACTAGTAAACCGAATTACACCTTAATCTTGTAAAACTAATATTAGTGATTAAGCTAATCACTGATTACATTTAGGTTCTTATCAGGAGAGAGAGAAATGAGGGTGTATTAGAGTGAACTTTTGGTGTAACAGTGACATGTGGGTGAGAGGTAGCGGGTAATTTGGAAGCAAAGACGAAAGAATGTTCATAGCCCGGCCCAAATTACATGAACCGAAACCTAAGCCCACATACATGAACCCGAACCCAAACCCGGACTAGGGTGGATTATTTGTTGTGGAATTGTGATTTGACAAGTAATGTTCTCATGTTAGACTGAGACCCTTATAAGTTTGGAGTAAACCATAACTAAGTCATGTGGGATCGAAATGGTTGTTTGATATGGACTTTGTGGTTCATCATGTATTCTCTTGTTAAGCACTTTGACGCGTTATGTTATCATATTGTCAAGGAACATATATTCAAAATGATCAAGATCAACAGTCTGACAATATAAATGTTATATTATATGGTAAAGTAACGTTTCTCGTATTCAATACCTATAATGTAACAAAAAATTTAAAGAGTAGTGATTTTCACAGTCACATTTTCTACTTTTGCAATTATCTCTTGTTTTTGTCTATTGATTGATTCTCGTTTGATTCATCCAATCACATGACTAGAAAAAGAGCGTAAAGTGCATTGAAGAAAAGAAGAGTACGAAAATCACTTTCGCTTGTCATTGCATGCACAAATCCTAATACAAATCAAACCAGTTTGCTTGTGTTGAAGAAGTAAATATGAAAGGCAGCTGAAATTAAGAAGGCCGCAAGCCATCAATAAAATGCATCACACGTCTTGCCTTTACTTTGATTCGAGAAACCTTACATTCAGAGAAAGAATTTGAAGCCAAGAAAATGGCAACAGCATGACACAACAGCTTGTAGACAATTACAACAAAACCATGTTCAAGATTAGGCATCACAACTGTTTCAAAGTAGAAGCAGGAAAGCAAATAGATGTGGTACAAATCATCTAAGAGGATCGAAAAGAGGCCGAGGGCGAATATAAACAAGAGACAAGTCAAGGCGGCAGAGATAACGAGAAGAAGAATGCAGACGATGAATGCGCCGTGGAGAAATGCAAGTAGGATGAGGTTGAGATTCGGCTCCATCGGAGGATACAGTTGAAGAAAGTGAGAGAGAAAGCTGAGGATGTTAAAAAGAAAAAAAGGTTGAGCTTGAAGAAGGGAAAAGAATGAAGTGACTTGCACTCATTCTATTGAAAGGCAATGAAGTCATTTTCTCAGTTATTTGGTGTTCACAGCAAGGCATTCTGTTTTGTGCAAAATTAGAGGTCCAAGTGTATAAAATGAATAAGATTCATGCATAAAATGACACACCCCGTCCCGAAGGAGGGCATGCTGGCCGTCACGTGAGAGTGACGTAACCATTTGCACAGTACGGAAGCTTTAATTATACAATTTATAAGTTAATACACTCGAAGGTGAGTCCTAATTTTGTCCAATCTGTCAGAACACCGTCGAATTCCTCGTAGTCGCCACACCTTTGTGATTCCTGAACCTGGAGGGGCGCAAAACCAAAATTGAGTGGGTCAGTAAAACAATTCTTTTCCAAATCCAAACATTTCTCAAAACGTTGTAACCCCTCTCCGTAAAACCTGTATACTTTCCCAGAAATGTAAAATATAAATATACATATATATTCTCAAAACTTCATTTTTTACTATCTCAACATTTTTCTTTATCAATCAAGCCATGCCATGTCTAATTCAACAGTTAAGTATGGATGCATCAACAATAAACATATCAGGTGCAAGAAAGTAATCAACCGGAGGCCCTCTAATAGCCTGTACGGTTGAACCTAGAGCTCAAAATCTATCACTCTCACACTCTGCCGGAGTCACTCCGCGTGACCTGTACGGCCTTCTGCACACAAGTTACGCTCTAGTGCTTCTCATAAATCATCTGTGCACATAATCTAAGGTCACCCACCAGTCGGAATCTCACTAACACTCTCGCGACTGGCCTGTCGTACCCACTCCGCGTGGACTGTACGACTAGCATCTACTTGGATCCAAGACGAGCGTGCGATGCGGTGAATACTATAAGCACTAAACTATGGTGCAGGATTTGAGCTCAATATACATCAACATCATCATAACAGAAATAAATACTCACATGTGCGTCCACCGCACCATTTCATACATATGCATCATAAATCAATTCTTACCTGTGCGTCCACCGCACCAATTCATACATATGCATCATAAATCAATTCTTACATGTGCGTCCACCGCACCAATTCATACATATGCATCATATATTAATTCATGCATGGCATTTCAACTCACATTTCTATATACTTTTCATATCAATTCTATGCATGGTATTTCACTTCCCGTTTTTCCACATACTCATATGCATTTCATTTTAAACTTATTTTCATTTCAATTCAACTTCTGGGAAACGTCAAGTATATATATATACGGAAAACAAAACTGCCCACTCACCTGGAGTTCGCCCTACAACTCCCTAGCACCACACATCAAGGCGTCATGACGATCGGCGCCTAAAACAATAATTAATTCCAACCTCAGAATTCATATTGATAGAATATATAACTTATATAAAATACGTCACTACGTAGTTCGATCCGGAAAATCCACCACTCAGATTTTAAATCCATAACTTCCAGAGGTCCACAATATACCTCTAGGACAACTTCCTAAAATTTCATTACCATCCAACGGTCGGATCTCCGTCAATTTCCAAAACTAAGTGACGGTTAACATTTTATATTATGGACTTACAATTCCAATTCCGGAAGATCCGTAACTCGGATTCCCAATCTGTAAGTTCCAATAATCCTCAAATATTACGTATTACAAGTATCACAGTTTGGTGATGATCCAACGGTCGGATCATCAATTCACATTTTCACCTAATGTGAAAACTATAAAACGTTATTCGAACACCTAACCAACAATCCTTAATAACTTTCTCATACGGTGCTCGATTTGGGTATATGAATATACCACGGTGATCTAATCGACGTCACGGACGTCGACATATTTTTAAAATAATTTTATTTTATTTTATTTTTTTTAACTGTAGCACCTTCTTCTTCCTTGGGTCGCCGGATTGGTTTTTCCGGCGGCCGTTTTCTGGGCAGTTTTTCAAATTGCCATAACTTTGTCATTTCTCAACGAAATCAAGTGATTCAAAAACGAAAGTTGTAGCCCTTGAAGAGACAAAGAGAATGGTACCTTGCACAACACCTAGTTCGCCGTGGTTTGGCCGGAAACGGCCTCGAAAGCCTCGGAGGTCGCCGGAAACTGGGTATTTTTCAATGAGTATAACTTCTTCAATACTCAACGAAATTGAGTGAAACAAAAAGGAAAGTTGTAGTACTTGACGAGACGAAGAGATTGATACCTACCTCGACTCCTAACTCTCCGGGGAGTCGCCGGAAAATGCCTCGAAAGCTCCGGCCAAACTTTGAACTTGTCGATCTCCGTGTTCTTACGTCCAAAAACTTCCAACGAAGCACTCCGAGCTTCCTTGGGACCTCACTAAGCTCTCTGTGATCTTGTTTTAGCCTAAAACGTAGTCATTTAGAAGATCATGAACAGTACCATTTCACGGGAACTTTGAAACTAGGGTTTTCCGAAGCAAAACTTACCTGAAATGGATACCATCGTGATCGTGGAGGTTCCAGGAGTTTGATGGTGGTCTTAACTCCGTCGTTGGTAGAAGTTTAGGGTGGTTTTGGAGTTTGTCCGTGCACTTGAGAGGGAGAGAACAGAGAGTGAGAGTTCGTGAGGGAGGAGAGAGAGACAGTGTACGGGAAAGAAGGAAGGATTTGAGGTGTGTGGGATCCTACCCAATCCCCAACTACAAAATTCTATCATAAAATTTAAGTCTAAATCTCCACTCTAATTACCAAAGTTTAGGAGCTTAGATATAACGAACGTGAAAATTATACCTTAGTCACGTACTAGGGACATTTCCGTTAATTCACCATCACGAGTGTAAAACTTTGGGACGGGCTGACATAAAATGAGTAAGATTGTTGAAGGAAACAAATACAAAATAAAGAAGCGGAAGAAGTTACTTAACACATCAACTTGATCATTCAAATTTTCTACAAAGAACGACACCCAAGTAAGACCTAAAACCATGACAAAGGGGAAAAAACACATAAGCTGATAATGACATGGATGCATCCCAGCATCCTTTTAAGACTTTGCGGTTGGCGGTTTGGACAACCTTCCCTAGTTCAACAAGTAAAATTTTCTCTTGTTAAACAGAGCAGCCTACGAAGGAAACTGAGCATCTCGTACGACTGCACATAATCATTTTTCACCCGAGTCTAGGGAATAGCATTTGTTTTAGCAACTGGAAAACGTTGTGAGAAAACTCTCAACCAATTTGTTGAATGGTCACATGGATCTGCTCAAGTCTTTGAACATTCTGACCCAACATCAACTGTAGTCCAGATTAATAATCACTGGCAAGACGATCTGTGGATCTTCATCAATCTATCCTGCACTGCAAAAAATTTGCATGACATAACCAATAAGTTATTTTGTTATGTAGCACTTAAACGAAACATTTTGAATTTTCCACCCCTTGCTTCAGTAAGAGCTGTCTTTGGGAACCATGTCGGTAGTTACAAGGGAAAGTTCAGCTCTAAGCAGCATTCCGACATCTATTTACGTCAATATTTGTGCAAAGTCTGGACCTAGAAACTGAATACTAATGACTCTTGAAACATTGAGAAATTCAGGATGCATTCCCCATATAACTTGTTTTAAACTCTGACGAGAACAAATTTTAAGTGTCAGGCGATTTTCTTTTCAGTTCAAACTTTAGTTCTCATTTCACATCTCATAGATTTTTTGCTGATAACGTCTTCGAATACATATTTTCGAAAGAGTGAATGCACATTCACGAAGAAATGGTAGAATAATAAAAATAAATTAAGATCAATTACCTTTGCCATCCACATGGACTCTATTTACATCAAGAATTTCGCTTAAGTGAGGCAATGACATCTAGGCCATCTTTGGTGATCCATTTGGAGGGATAGAAAGTATTAGATGATCCACGGTGATGTTGCCAAACCATGATTCTTGAGCAATCGTGCAATAAACCTTCCATCTGACTTTCATCTTCGACAACTTGTTCAATAAATGTGCTCGTCTGCAGATGCAAACAGTAAAGTTAGCAATTGAAGCGGGGATGTAGTAGCCAGTAGTCAGGCAATATTACAGTTTTCAGTGCTTAAGTGCGGACTTTATTTCTCCAATAGAGGCTGTATTATTGAAGGGTGTGCTTATATATGTTACAAGTAAGTAACTTAGGATGTTCTAGTTACTACATCAGTTTACTTAAAAGATACAACTTCTCGTTCTAAGTCTACCACATGTTCTTTTGCTTTAAAGTTCGTAGAAGTTGGCTTATGTTTAAAGGTTACCAACCTTGAAATCATCATTGCCTTCATCGAGCTGCCTAATGGGTTCAAGAGTCGGTCGATGCCACCTTTTAGGGTCCCAGAGTATCGTACTATTGAAGGCAAATCCTGATATGTCAGCATAAAACCTCTGGAACCTTCTATTTGACTCAGTTACATGCCATCCTATGACCTGAGTTCCATTACAAACGGGGCCTTCAATAACAGGTTTCATCTTTCCACCTATCATTTTTTCCACGGTCCACGTCCCAAACCGCCTGCAGAAAAATATGAAAAAGGAAAAAATAAGTGTCACCATAACATGCTCAGAAAATGCAATGTCAAACAAAGAGCATTTACTAGAGAGGCAAAGATGAAGATCTCTCATACAATACTACCGGCACCAATTTTCCAAAATTTAGATACTGATGGATGTGCATGATAATGGAACAATACTTTAGTTGCTAGAACTAAATGAGATTCAAAGGAAAACCAAATAGAAACATATAAAACAATGTCGCATCAGTTGGTATTCAAATTTTAGAACTTTATTGTGTTGTGTGTAATGTTAATCTCTCTAAAACAGGTTCTATGAGCAATGAACAAACTATATGCGGAGGATCGGAGGATCTCCAGCAGAAAAATGATAATTAACTATGAGATTGACATAAAAGACATATTGCTGTAAGAGCAGTTCTCATGCTTACTTATCAAGAAGCTCAAAAATTTGTTAAATTTTGCAAATGTAACTAAACCATGTTCTCTTATTTTCTCAGGATATCCGTGGGTGATGATGGATAAAAAATGCTATTCCTACAACAGTCCCATACAAATGTAAACTAATACTAAGGAGTTTGGTTTAGAGAAGTGGATATACCTGATCTGCCTCATTTGCTCAAAAAGATCGATGGAGTAGACGTTTTCCTCATTTGCAAAGTAGATGATTCCATCAAGATGGTGAGTTTCAATGTGAGAAAGTGCAACATTTCTTTGATGAACACTTTTGTCTCTTACATCAGTAAGATTTTTATTGCAAACAAGATGTATGTACATAATCCCAGATCTCCTCAAGATGTCAGTTGTTTCTGCAGATTGGGAGGTCATCTCCACAACGATCCATAACAATGGAGGTGAGGTTAATTTTAATGTGTGTATCATACGATTCAGATTATAGGCTTGAAATGACTGAGCATAAGTTGGAGTCACTATTATCAAAAGCTTCCGGGATTCCAAATCTGATTCTTGAATGAGAAATCGATTATCTATAGATTTTTCTGGAGTCCCATCTTTTGCTTCCCGCCCTTTGACTTGCAACTCTGCTGTAACATTCTCCTGCAATCTCACCCTTTCTGATGGTGTCATATTTCTGTATGTAGTATCATGCAACTGAAACCCAACTAAAGATAACATGTCAACGGATAAGTCTTGATGCTTTGACATGAGATTCGCAGGTAAATTCATTGAACCAAAGGGCGTAAGTCCAATGAATAGGCCAACAATGAAACAAATGAAGAAATGGCAAAACGCCCTCCTCCAAGTTTGCCATCTTGGTTTTGAGTCTTTTGACTTCTCAAGAGGCCTATTAGACCTTGGTGAATAAACTTTGAGAACAAAAGGGTTGAGCAAAGTGGACACAGACGACAAGAATCCATTGGATGAGGGGTAGTTCTGAGTACACAATGAGGACTTGGACAATGGAGAAGCAACTGAACAGGTTTCCCCATTGAGTGCAGTTCCTACTCGAGGCACCGGAGACAATGTCCTTCGAATAGATGCCATCAACACAGACACAGTATCTGATCTAGCTTATTTCAAACTCCACCTCTGCTTACAAACTCTTATAACATAGACCAAAATCTATCCAAACAGATTAAAACATTGCGGTCTTTCGAACGAACGTTATACCAAAAATTTCAAAACCACTAAATTTCTTCTCTGTATGACCCCCATCAAAAGCTTCATTTTTACCATCAATTGCAGGAAATTAGTGCGTGTATTTCATATGAAACTAAAATCCAACCTCCAAACAATCCAAGCCCTCCATCTAATCTACTTCTCGCCACAAAGTCCCAACCCCAGCTTACAAAAGAAAAACAGCTTTTTCCCCAAGTTCAAGTTCTTGATCTACAACAACAATATGACTAAAAAGATACAAACTTTGGACCCAAAAACTATCAAATTCCAAATGAAAGCTGAAAAATTCTCAGAAAAACCAAAAAGGTCGCCGCATTACCGTTAAAAAGCAACTGGGTCTTCGATCTTTCAACCCAACTAGCCCCAAAGCAACCAAACCAGCCAGGCAGCTGCAAGCTCCACTCTGTTGAAGCTGGACAAAACGTCAACGTTTGGAGCACAAAGTAAAGATGTCAATGGCAGCAGTGATGCTTGCCAGGAATGTTGGAATTTGAATCTCTCTTTCTCTCTCTCTCTCTCTCTCTCTCTCTCTCTCTCATGTAGATTCAGACACCAAAAAACATACGATACAGTTTTTTCTTGGCTTGGGTGACCGACGGCCTAATTGGTTCTAATTATTTGTAATATTTGGTGGGAACTGTAGTGATACCCAATGTGTGTAAGGAAAGAAAATTACAATTTAGTAACTGTACTAAATGCAGAAGTCTCTAACTAATTTTTTTGCATTGATTTTTTCTATAAAATTTTAACAGCTATATCTTTAAGATTCTTTTGGGTCTAAGGTATCTCTTGCAAATAGAAAATATTGATTTTATATTAACCTTGATATTGTACATCTTAAGCGTTATATTTTCATTTTTTTTCTTCCTATGAGTATCTCTAGACTTGGTTGGTAACCATTCTACCAACTAAGTGATTTTTCAATGTGTTGAAAATACGATCCAGTACATCAAGTATTGGTATATCGAATCATGTTCCCACCATTGAAAGTTTTCTCTTACCAGAGATTAAGAATAGTTTGATTGTCTGGCTCTAAGAGTTCCTCGAGGTTTCTCTTCGAAATTTTTTACCTGTTTCATGATTTCATCCAAGGAAAAAGAAGAAGAAAATGATATGATTTTTTATATAATGGACATTGGAAGGGATAGAAAGTGAGATAGTATTAAATATATAAAGATAATTTATTGCTTTTATTTTATTACTTTAGCATTCTGACAACTCATCATCAACGTCAACTGGTTCAAAAATAAAAGAAAAACATTCAATTGATTCAGAAACAATCTAAAAATTCATGAGGATACCATCCAAACAATGAATTGCCTTTCCTTTTTTTTTTTTTTTTTTCCTGCAATACCATATATATAAAATATAACCGAAATGTTAAATTAAGAAGAAAAAAATCTCATTTGTAAGAAATCAATTAAACCATTTAATTTGCATAAACGGCGAGTCCAAACCAATTTGGGCCGAGCCTCTCTCAAGCATAAGCCCAAACTCGACCTAACCGTCAAAATTTGCAGCCGGCTAGGACAGGTCCAAACAGAAGGGTATTTCCGCCATTTCATATCATACTCTCCGAAAGCCGGCTCAAGTCGCACTTCTGTGGAACTCTCTCTCTCTCCCTCCTTCGAAGTTGTTACTTCCCCTACAAACTCTTCATCGTAGTCTCAGATCCATCGCTCATTCTCTCACCACCATCGATTGAGGAGGGATAGAGAAAAGAGAGGGAGAGAGAATCTGTCGCCATGGGCATGGCGGTTCGAGGTTTCGTGCTTCTTCTTCTGTTCTTATCAGCTGCAAATCTCAGTCTTTCGCTCTACGAAGATCAAGTCGGTCTCATGGATTGGTAGGTTTCAATCGCATACTCTCTCTGCTTCATAACTTAGAAATTATCGGAAAAAAGGATTAAATTTTGAAATTCGATTGGAATCACTTCACTCGATTTCTCTGAATCCAAACGGAAGTTAATATCTGAAGAATTCGATCTTATTTCTATCGAATTGAATCGTATCCGAGCTGTTAATCGAAAGTTTGAATTTTTTGTTTTAGTTTGTGAATTGATTGTTCTGCGGGACTTCGAATTGATTTTGTAAGTTTCTGTTTTGTTGCAGGCACCAGCAGTACATAGGGAAGGTGAAGGAAGCAGTGTTCCATACTCCGAAAAGCGGGAGGAGGCGGGTTGTGGTGTCCACTGAGGAGAATGTTATAGCATCGCTTGATCTTCGGCATGGGGGGATAAGTAAGTTCCTCACTATTTGAGATGGAATAATCATATGTGAAATCTGTTTTGTCGTCTCGGCTCAAACATCGAACCGAATGTTAACCGGTGCTTTTGTTTTGTGCAGTTTGGAGACGTGTTCTTGGGAGCAATGATGCTATAGATGGAATCGACATAGCATTGGGAAAATGTAATTGTTATGCCTGCATTCATCATTTTTTGTCATAAACTATATGATTACGTGAACTTTGTGATTGAAAGACTCATTTGTCAGGAACAAATAAATTTCATATTATCACGTTATGGAATTGGTTTTATAAAAAAGGGGTTGAATTGTGCCACATTATGTTTTCTCTTATAGGAATCCATTATTAAATGCTTCCGCAATGAACTTATATTGTTGATCCAAAGGTTGAGCGTTCTATGTCGTTTTTTCAGATGTCGTTACCCTTTCGTCAGACGGAAGTATTTTAAGAGCATGGAACCTTCCTGATGGTCAGATGGTTTGGGAATCTTTTCTAGAGGGCTCAATGTCCTCTAAATCTTTACTAAGTGTCCCGGTTAGTAAACAACAATTACACTCACTCTTCCAAAGCTTCAATTATGCTACACGATTCAATCTTACATTTAGTGTTTGTGCAGACAAGTTTGAAAGTTGACAAGGGAAATTTGATCCTTGTTTTTGGAAAAGGGTCTCTACATGCCATTTCTAGCATTGATGGTGAGGTTCTTTGGGAAAAGGATTTTGCAGCTGAAAGGTACGCCTACTTAGAGTTTTGTGATTAATGTAATCATTTGTAATATTAATAATATGATTCATTTTTGTATTTAATAAATATCGCTATTTCGTTAATAGTTTTTGTTGTTTCCATGTTTTCAGTGTAGAGGTTCAACAGATTATTCAGCCTCTGGGCGGTGATGTGGCTTATGTACTCGGATTTGTTGGTTCTTCCCAGTTTGATGCATATCAAATGAATGTTAGGAACGGAGAGTTGCTGAAGCACAGCAGTGCACCCTTTTCGGGTGGCTTTTCAGGGGAAGCACTGCTTGTTTCTAGTGAAATTCTTGTGACATTGGATTCCACGAGGTCAAAGCTGGTAATTGTAAGTTTTCAGGATGGAGAAATTAGCTATCAACAGTCACCCATATCCGATATTTTTGGGGATTCTTTTGGAACACCAGTGCTGTTACCTTCAAAACTTCCAGGATTGTTTTCTGTAAAACTTAATGGGGCTGTCATATTCATAAGAGTGACTGGTGAAGGAAAGTTGGAGGTGCTGGATAAAGTAAATGATGTGGCGGCTATCAGTGATGCAATCTCACTTTCAGACGGGCAACAGGCTTTTGGACTAGTCCAACATGGAGATGGTAAGATCCATCTTACAGTAAAGCCTACTCATGACTCAAGCACTGATCTGCTCAAAGAAAGTATTGTTGTGGACAGTCAGAGTGGGGTTGTTCATAAGGTTTTCATAAACAATTATATCCGGACAGACAGGTCTAATGGGTTTAGGGCCTTAATCGTCATGGAGGATGATTCACTTTTGTTGTTACAACAAGGTGCAGTTGTATGGAGTAGGGAGGATGGGCTTGCCTCAATTATTGATGTAGTGACGTCAGAACTACCTGTGGAAAAGGTAGGCGTATCAGTTGCGAAAGTGGAGCAGAACCTCTTCGATTGGCTCAAGGTATGAACTGTGATATGGTTTAATTGAGTTGGAGACTAAGAAGCTAGGTTAAAAGTTTAAATTTTGGCATGTTTGAGCATAATTGCATGTGTCATCCCACTTTGTAGAATTGCATAGCAGTGTAGTTTCATATGCAGTGTGCATACATTTGCTCTTTTGATAGTTTGTATACTTTGGTTGTCATTTTGGACCAGGAGTTTTTAGTTAATGTGTCTCATTGACTTTTCTTTTTCTTATTCTTTTTTTCATTGATTTTGTGTTATTTTCAAGGGACACATACTGAAGCTTAAGGGAACCTTAATGCTTGCAACTGCTGCGGATGTTGCCGCTATACAAGAGATGAGGCTAAAAAGTTTTGAAAAGAGCAAACTGACACGTGACCATAATGGTTTTCGGAAGCTCCTCATAGTACTGACGAGAGCAGGAAAACTTTTTGCCTTGCACACCGGATATGGGCAAGTTGTCTGGTCTCTCTTACTGCCTACTCTGCGTAAATCTGAAACGTGCGAGTACCCGACTGGGTTGAAAATTTATCAGTGGCAGGTACCCCATCATCATGCACTGGATGAAAATCCATCTGTCCTCATAGTAGGTCGATGCGGGCAAAGCTCTGAGGCACCAGGTGTTCTTTCTATTGTTGACGCATACACGGGCAAGGAAATTAATTCAATGGCTCCAGCACATTCTATTGTGCAAGTTATACCACTGCCATTTACTGATTCGACAGAACAGCGTCTTCATCTACTAATCGATGCTAACCAGCGTGGGCATTTATACCCAAGAACATCTGATGCTATTGATATTTTTCAAAGGGAGTTCACAAACATTTACTGGTACTCAGTTGATGCTGATAATGACATTATCAAAGGACATGCTTTGAAGGGCACTTGCAACCAGGAAGCTGTAGATGACTACTGCTTTGAGTCCAAGGATATATGGTCGATTGTATTCCCATCTGACTCAGAAAAAATCATTGCAACTGTGACAAGAAAATTGAGTGAGGTATGATTGTGTCTGGCTATCACATATTATATAGGTGTAACTGTGTAAGGGAACGTAATGTCCTTGAAAATTTTGCGTTTTTTCCTTTTCTTGCATCTGTTATATATTTTTTTTAATTTCTTCGCTTTGTTTACTTTTTTATATTATTGGTTCTCTGTATTTTTTGTTATTCCATCTTGTAGATCATTCCTTCTTTACTTTGTCATGTAGATTCTATCATTCCAAAGTCAATCTTTTAACAAACTTTGGTCTTACTAGTACTCTTGGCATGGCCAGTTTTGTTGGTAAGAGGATTCGGTGGTGTGATTTACTACTCTGTTTGTTCTGTAGTGTTTGGTCAGAAAGGAATAGTAGGTTTCCAGAGGAGTGCAGTACTGTAATCATGAGCTTAACATAAACTTTTTTTAGATTGTTATGATTTCTTTATTGTTATTTCATTCGATCATTGCTTGCACTACAGACTTCTATTTGTTTTTTCACATTTTCAGCCTTGTACTTGGGCTGTTCCCCCTGGCCACTCTATAATAAAATGGATTTTACTTCTCGAAAAAGAAGAAATTTCGTTGTTCAGTCTTTGGGTATGCTTTGCTGTTTTATGTTTTTGTAACAAAGGCTAGTGATTCGCCGTCCAGGTGGTTCATACTCAAGCAAAGGTTATTGCAGACTCAGAG